AGGATGAATCTGTTCTCAGTAAGTTGCAAGCTACTAAAGGAGATACAAGTTGGAATCCAGCCTTGGCTGCACCACACACCATCTGTCACCCTTGTAGAGTGAAATAAAGGAAGAGCAGAGAGCCTGCAATTATTCTCTCCCTCCTTAGATAGCCCAGAGGCCAGAGAAGTGGATTCTCTTCCCTGATACATTCCTTGCGACGGAAATGACAGATTCATTTTCCCACGGTGGTGTTGCTGTGCATTGCTCTCTAATCCTACTCACTGTCCCCTTGGCAAGCAGGAGCACAGACTGCCAGGCTGGGACCTGAGTGAGAAGGCTCTCTTCCCAGGGTTAGAGATATAGACGTAGCAAATTGCAGGAGAAGAACATGAGAGAAGAGGGGATGCTGAAGTCTCTCCACTAGGCACATTGCTGGCAAAATGCAGGAACTTGCCCTTACAGACGCCTGAGCACTGCTAGTACTGAGCACTTTTAGCCAGGCAAAATCTCTTCTCTCTCTCCTTCTCTCCCATGCCCTTGCACATTTTCGTAACCTCACAAAAGTTTCAGACCACGTCATCTTTAACCTACTGCAGGCGGGACTTGGGAGCCACGTGAGGAACAGTGAGGAGAGACCACAGCTGGTCAGAACACCATCCCCATGGCCAATGAATGGGGTACTTAGACTACACTCCCCTACACACCACCCCAAACAGAGTGCTGGAATGTCTCTCCCTTGGCATTGCATTTTGAAAGATGTGTCTGGCAAGACAGCTAGCTGACTTTGGCAGGCACTGCAATTAGTATGATAATTAATTAAAGAGCAGTTGAGAAAATCACAGCACAAGATTGCTCCACAACCAGATCCACAGCTCACTACCAGAGCAAGGCATGCTTCCATATCTCTATTTTTTTTGTTAAGGAATTAGTAGCTTTCATAGTGCACTGGAGTGGGATGAAGAGGAATGAATCCTTGTGCTAATCAGTTAGAGGACCTTGTCTGTAAGATAAGACAACCTGGGAACAGAATAGCAAGTGATATCACAGCAATAGAATGGACAAATATGGCAAGACATAACAGCTAAAGACTGTTTTATACAAGCCTCCTCTTGTTTCCTATGACACCAAAGACTGGAAGAACTTCTCTGCAGAACAGAAAAGTTATCAGGAGGAACAGGTGTCCTGTCTACTCAGTCAGAGCTGCAGCTGCTGCATAGCTCCCTGTATTTCCATGCCCTCAGCTGGGCTCTTCCATGTACTGACAGGTGCTAGTGAAGGCACACATATTATGTTCCTAAGCAGACACCCAGGTTGTTCCTGCTGCCACCTTTCCCATCTGCCCATTTAGGGAGATTCAGGATAACCACCACACATAGGCTTTGGTGCAGCTGTAGCTCTCACCTGCCTGCACTCCTGCCTGTCACTGGGCTGTCCCTCCCCTTCTGAAAGGTACCAGTGGTCCTCGCTCACTGCCAGTGTGGAAAAGCGGGCCAATACTGAGCCACAAAAAGGGCCTGCTGATGAGTGCAGGTGGGACAGGCTCAATAGTCACCCTCAGGCACCTGGGTGTCTCGATGTGTTGCTCCTTACTTGAAGCAAAGAGGCTCAGGATAAGAGGACTTGCTGCATGTAAAGTAACTGTAGCCCAGTTAGTGGCTATTGAAACAAGAAGGGAAGAGGAATTTTTTTATTCTCAAACTGGAGTTTCGTTGAAAATGGCTGATTTTCAGAAAAAATACATTTGAAAAAACACATTTCACTAATATCTTTGAACAAAATAGAAAGAGGAGAAAAGGATCATTTTTTGTTTGTTTCTTTGAACTTATTAGTACAGAAATAATCTGAAAGTTTATGCCGAGGTTTTGGCTTTATTTTCACTATTTTTCTTCTGGGTGGGGAAAGAAAAAATTCAAATATTTACTGAAAGAAAAAAAAAGAAAAGTCTTCTTACTTGTATTTCTTAGTCAGAAGGAGATCAGAAGGTTTTCTGCTTGTTTCTAAGCAGATACTTTTGTTGGAAGACTTCTCACCCTCAGTTATAAAATCTTTTATGTTAAAGCGGTACAAAAACATTCAAAGTGTCACATTGTGTCAGCCCCCTTCCCTTCTCCTTGTGCTTCAAGCTGTCTTTGGAGCATTGTTGTGGAAATGAAATTTTCTGGTTGTTCTCTCCTTGTTTGTTGCTGTGTGAGGCCAAGTGAGTTTGCTGGGGGTTTAGCACAGCTGCATGGCAATGCTGCCCACATTGTGTTGGAGACACTTCTGGGCTTGTTTCTGCTTTAACCTTCTACATGGTCTGTGGCTGCAAGTACCAATCTAATTATGCAACTTCTCTCTTCACTGTCCAGGCTTTCCCCAGTCCTTATTAGAAGCAATGTATTTCAGCTCTCACTATCGTACCTTCTACCCACTTTGGAGTCCATGAACACTATAAATCAGGCTCTGTGTTATAGACAGAGCCTTGCTTTCCCATCTGGGATTATGTATTTCACAGAGGAAGAGGAACTCAAGTCCAGTTAATTGCACTGAAGCACCTTGAGTTGATGCCATGAAGCTTCTTTTCCATCTAATCACGATTATCTGCAAGGGAAAAAAGGTTATTAAATATTGGAAAATGTACTGTGTCCCATCTATTTCAGATTATTTTGCATCTGTGTTTACAACAGACATAGGCAATTTGTTCAAGATCCAAGAAACTAGAATTATCCTCTTCCCCATCTTTCATCACTTGAAAAGGCTTTTCTACTTTTCTAGCATTTTAATTTTTTTTTTTTTTTTTTTTTTGTAATTTGTTGGACACTTTGCATAACCCTTTCTTAAATATGTAACTTTGTCTTAAAGTGAGGCATGGCCATGAAGAAAAAATTATGCAAACAGGCCTTTTCAGTGTAACAAATTAGATTTCATTCTGTGTAAATCTGTTGCCTGCCCTTGCTATTGATGGGTTTCACAAACTATATGGGGAGTTAACTGTAAGTTTGATTACAGTCCGTGGATTTACAGACAGAGCCAGCAATCTCAGCAATCTATCCAGGGCTGGTGTGTCAAGCATTGCCACTGCTCCTTTCTACCTGATACTATAAGCAGTTAAAATGACACTACTTATTTTCCCACAAAATTAATGTAATATGTAATATTGTAAGCTTTTTTTTTTCTTTTTTTTTTTTTCCCTGCAGTAGACTTCATACACTGTTTTGCTCTGATGGGTAGGTAGCATCACCTGTGATTAGGATGACCTGACAGTCTCCCTAACATCAGCCTGCCTCAAAGTGTTTGTTCTTTTAGTTTGCCTTATGCTGCCATCAGGGAATGAAATTTTCTAGGAAGGATGTCTGACCCAAGATAGAGTCAGGCTAATTTCTACAGAGGAAATTGTGCTATAGAGTTTCAACCAAATTAGATCAAGAGAAATGCATTGTTTAATCCACACTTGGGGAAAAGAAAGACATGAAAAAGTTCTTGCTATTGTTTCGACAAGAGGGTCTCAAACATTGTCAGAGGATATGCTCAGTACATAGCAAGCTGCAGCACAAACCACATTAGTCATATTTTTCCCTGCTCACATTACCACCATCCTCTGGGGAGGAAGGCTGGTGTCTCCTGCCTCTTCATCTCCAATCCGCTGTTTGGACTCCCAGCCTCTCTCCCTGCCTCACCACTGTGTTAGCCCCCTCCTCTTCCTGCCACTCAGTTGTCTCAAAAAGTCTCAGCATGAACAGTTTGTACCCTCGCTAAATTCTTCTGATGCCTTCTGGCTATAAATAGGGATTGCTGATGGAGGAAACTCTAGTGTCTTGGGGGAAAATGTACTCTCACTTATAGATCTTACTGGTCTTTTAGTGGAACCTAAAGTTGGAAAGGTGACCCAGTACTACTTCTACACTTCAGCAATCTCTTATTGAACAATCTCACTAATATAACCCAGATATGTTTTAGTCTCCTAAAGCGTCTGGTATGAGAAAGATCTGTTACCCTTAAAGTGAATCCCAATTGCTTCACATTGCAAAACCCAGGGAGTCCTCATTCCCGGTGTAATAAGCCTCTTTATGAAGCTGTGCCTTTGGCAACAAACTGCACAATGAAATGAAACCAGTATTGTTATTAAATTAATGTCCTTACATAACTGATCTTTCACCCAGTGGCTGCCAACACAGATCTCAGTGCAAACCACATTTCTGAGAGGAGCGCAGAGAGAGGTGAAGAGCTCAAGGAATCAATTTTTTATTTCTCAGGAGCACAGATGCAATCTCCAGTGAATTAATTTTTTTCTCCAAACTTGTATCCCCTCGAGTGCTGGCAAAACAAGGTCTTGACAAAGATTTTTCAAGGCAACAGCAGAAGGCCCCTTGCAAGCACTCTACAGAAAATGGAGTTAGCTCCCGGTTACTGGTGCAAAAGCAGGAATGGGAAGGAAGACCCCTCCAAAGGCATAGCAGAGCTAGGTCGCCACAGGCAGGAAGGGCCTCGGGGGTGAAATGGGGGCCGCATCCTGGCTGCGGGGACAGGGCTGGCCAGAGGGCTCTGGGAAGGCTGTGGGAGCCAGGCCCGAGGAGGGCTCGGAGCCAAGGTAGCACACCGTGCCGAGCCCGGGCCGTGCCGTTCCATCCCGCCTCCCATTCCGCCCTGCTCCATCCCGCGCCCTGTGGGGCCCGGGCCCGGGCCCGAGCCCAAGCCCGAACCCGCCCCGCCCCGCCCCGCGCCCCGCCCGGCCCGGCCCGGGCAGCGCCGGCCCGGCCCCGCCCCGTCCCTCGGCGCTCGCCCAATAGGCGCGCAGGGTCGTTTGCATGGTTGCATATTTATTTACATATTTGCATATTGCTCAGGACATAAGGGCGGGTGGGAGCGGCGTCGGTGGTGCTGGGCGCTCTCCGGGCTGCCCTGTCCTTCGCTGCGCTTCGGCGCCGTACTTCTGTTTTAGTTATCGTAAGTTTTCAGAGAAAAAACCCCTTACTTTTAAATTTTTAATTTTTTTTTTTTTTTCTTTTCGCGCCGAAACTTTCGTGCCCGCGGCAGGAGGCGAGATGTGGAGGAAGGCGTTCCTGGCCGCCGTGTGCCTCTGCCTGCGCTGGGGGGCTGCTCTCGGCGGTGAGTCCGGGACACGGGGGCACCGAGCTGCCGGGCCTGCCTGTTGCTCCTGGGAAACGGGGCTTGGGGGAAGCGTGGCGGGAAAGGGGAGTTTGCAATCCTTCCTTTGTGAAGCTATCCCGGGGAGCTTGGGATGCTGCGGGACCCGGGTGTCGCGGAGTGGGCTTGGAAGGCGCTGGAGAGCGACACTGGGGAGGAACCTCCATCCTGTTAGGAGAGACCTGCAGCCTGTTCCCCAGCCGAAACTCAGGCACAACCTGCCGGGCTGGTGGCGCGACCTGTTGAGGTTTGGGATGTGTTTTTTTTCCCAGAGACAAGGTGGCTTCCGACAGTTCCTTGCCCCAGCAAGGGATTTGCACAGCAGTAGCACCACGGTAAGGTCCCTCGGCTTCCTCTTCTGTGGGACTCAACTATCCCAGCATCCCAGCTTCGTACAGTTCTTGATCCCAGACAAGGCAAGGCTGAGTTTCATCGCTATTGTGGTAATGTGTTCGAGACGTAGTTAAGCCTGTAATGAGCAGGATCCACTAGGGGAAAAGTGAACAGAGTGATTTACTCCCGTTCACTTATGGCTGTGTTTGCACTCTGCCTGTTGTACCTGCACTTGTGCATAGACATCCTGTCCAAGCTATGGGAAGTGGAAGATGTGCAAATGGTGCTAGATTTTTACTAATGCTCTCTCAATTAATCACAGTGTAACTGAAGCTGTTATGAACAAATTGACTAGCTTTAGGAGACCACTACTACTCAAACTTCAAAAAGCTTTAAAATATTGTTAGCAGTGCCCTGTCACAGGCTTACTTTCTTACACTGATCTCCTACACATAGTATCTGTCTTTAAAAGTTTCTGGCCTTAGAAGAAAGGGTGGCTGTAGCTCCTAGAGCTGCTTTGTGATCCTAAACTGGAATATATAAACTTCTGTTTTTTCTGCTGTGCGTCCCTTTGTTACTTCTTTGTGTACAGGGAAGCTGAAGGGAACTATTCAAGAGTAAGAGGATGGGGTGCTAGGGTACAGTGAAAGGAATGTATTCTAGCTTTGAATCCAATCTTGTGCCATCAGAGACAATCAAAACCAATTTTCGTCACAGTATCCAAGTTCTATACAGTAAAATAACTGTCTTCTCAGAGAAAGCTTTCATCCCTGCAGGAACTGATTTGACACAGACTTACCAATAATTTCATTATTTCTTCTTAGGAATAGGTTGTATGAAAGCAGGTTATGTGCTCATCCTAAAGCAATTCAAGCCTTTAGGTCCACACTTTTCCATGCACAACACAGTAAAAAGTTTTTTGAAATCACAGCAAACATGTGATCCAGCCCTCCAAGAATCCAGAGTATTTAAAAAACAACATAGAAAAAGACTTTCTAGGTGAAAAAAAATGCTGGTCCTGGAAAAGATAAAAGCATTGCTAGAAATACATTCAGATCCTTATTTTACCAATGTAAATCCAGAGTCAGCATATTTACCCTGTTGTGTGATGTGAGCTACTGGCTTTTTCTATGGTTTGTGTTTGGGATAGACATACCAGGGCAGCTGTGGCATGGCCTTTTGAGAAACAATGCATTTCTGAGAAGGCACAGAGGTGAGGCTCTCAGGCCTCACGTTGTGCTGGAGATTAGCATGATCACTAGCACTCCTAAAAGTTTGCTGAAATCTCCTCTGTGCAGAAGTACTTGCACGATTGGAGTTTCTCATGCATCCTTACCTCTGTATTACTGCAAAGTCTGACAGTGGTTGCATTTTTTCTTCAGCTAATTGCTGTTCCAGAGGGACTGATGGGTGGCTAGATATCTGCTGGATTGAATTGCAAGTGTCCCAGCTGCAGCTGAGTAGATTTGTGAGGGAGTACCAGGGAGAGGGGTGGGCATCCCTGTGTACAGTGAGAGAACAGCAGTTTGCCAGCTGCAAAACTTGAGCTGGGAGATTCTTACTTAGCTTCTGAACTTGTGCTCAGTAGCTTTCCAAAGATATTGCTCTTTCCATTGGCCCCACCTGCAAAGTGAAGCAGAACGTACTCTCAGGGCTCTGCCATTGAGGAATACATAAATAAACATGAAGTTGTAATATTTTTGCAGCAAGGTTAAACAATAACCTGACTCGTGAGGTAGGTTTCCTGGGATTGCAACACACAGTAGTATGCTTTCAGTTTATAGTGTAGATCCAATTAAACGATAACCATTTCTGTGATATAGGCCCTTTGCTAGAGCTGGCTGTGAGTTTGCTTCAGAACTCTTAGGAATTCAGTATGACTGATTGATGGGTATTCCTAATGATGATTGTTGGCTGAGGGAAGATTTAGCCCAGTTAACTACAGCTGGTAAATATTTGATATGTGCAGATATTTGCTGTTGTGCATGTGTGTGCATGCATGTCTCTGTGGGCTATAGGAGACACAGTCTAGCAGTATACTTTCTGAGGATCTTTGCACCTAGTTAATACTATTTCCATTTCTGAGTGCATAATGCTAGGAAATTGTTGTTTATCAAAGATTCCATTTTTAAAACCACAGCTTAGGTGCACTCATTCTGGCAAATGCATTGTTATCATATTTTGGCAACCTGTGTGATGTGGGCAGTTTTACTTTTGATTAATATTCCAGATGTTGTTACTTCCTCAAGACTCACATTCTCCACCCAGCTGACCAGTGGTAAACAGTTTCACAGTCAAGGCAAGTTGTCCTGGGCTTCCAGTGAAAGAAACTTGAGACTGAATTCTCTTGGTTGGTCTGTCAGGATGCCTAAAGTCAGTGGGATGCTTTCAAAATTGATAATTGATAGGAGTCCCTAACTGAACGGAATTTCACAAGTTGCAAGTCCAAAGTGTCACAAACTTTGGACAGGAAAAACAAAACTACTGACTTCCAGTTTGTAAGCTTCCCTCCCCCCCCCCCCCCACTTTCTTTGAGTTCTGTGAGGTTTTATACCCTGCTGCACAGGACAGCTTTTTATTTTTTTAAAAAAATGGAAATTCATATTGTGCAAGTAGAGGTCATATTGTGCAAGTAGAGGTAAGAAAAGCATCAGAAAACTTTGTATAGCATGACAAAATGGTGAAGTTTTGGCGATGCAGCCTGAAAAGCCAGCTTCCATTGGAATTGGTAATTTAATTCTGCTTCAGTTCCCTAAATAATCCCTTTGTAGGTCATGCTAAGTGTGAGCACATAGCATAGACAGAAAACTTTATTTTGCAACAGGTGCTTGTATTTTTAACTATGTGCCTGGAAGCTTTGGCAATACACAACACATGCATTTGTACCTTGCTGAACTATGTCTGGGAAAGTGTAGTTTTCAGTAAAAGTATGGATTTCTTTTTTGTCTGCATGTATTTACTTCCAGTCTGTTTTATTCAAAGGCCTTGTTTAGAAATGGGACTTGCATTCTTGTCATAAAAACCTACTTCAGTATCTCAATATCTGTATGTATATTTCTTGATATCTAATTTCTGTATCTACATTATGAAAAATGCAATCTTAATTCAGATAAATTTCTGTCCACCTTTCAGAAACGTGCTGAAAACTACCTATTTTGGGGTTTTCCATGGTTTAATTAACTTGAGTTAAAACATCCTATTAACTAAACTATGGTGAGTGTTTACATTGGCTGTCTTTGCACTTCTTTGTGTAAGATTGTAGGAATGAGGCCCAATGGTTCACTGGCTCAGGACATGATTCAAGGAGACTTCTCCCTTTAAATCTCTGAGGAAAAGGTCTGTGGCAAAAGTCTATGAATGACAAAGTTTGGTTCTGAATAATTTGTTTAATAGACCAAGAAATACAATGAGGTATGAAAGCAGAAGTGGGAAATGCTTGTTTTCTGTGCTGAACTTCTCTGCTTCAGGTTTAAAGCGTGGTACATGTAGATGTTGATCTGTATGGTGAGTGTGTACAGACTGTGTGTTCCTGTATTCTGCAGGGGCTGGGATGTGAGGTGGTACTGCAGCATGTGTGCAGCACAACATTAGGTGTAGACAAGAGATCTTCTGCTCAGAGCTGGGGTTTTCCATGGTTTAATTAACGTGAGTTAAAACATCTTATTAACTAAACTATGGTGAGTGTGTGCTCAGAGCTGTATAGAATTTGCAAAGCCAAACTCAGGCAAATTCTGAGGAAAGCTTCTTGATGAGCACACCATCAAGAAGTCTGTAATAAACTCCACTACACACACACTACCCTCATACAGAGGGTATCTTGCCTGCTGGGAACTGACCATATGTGGACATAAGATAACATGACACTTTTTGTGGGTATAAGATGATAACAGTAATTTCTTCTGACTTTCTAATCCTCATGCAACATAGTTAAATGAGAAAAGTGGCTGCCTGCCATTTCACTAACTCATGGGCTGTTGCTTTGCAGCTGCTTCTTTCTTGGTGGTGACTATATCTCAGTGATTTTCTGTTCTCAAATCCCCATCAAAGATTGTTAGATTGAAACACGCAAATATGTGTGAAGCACTTAACACATCTTCAGTAGCAGGTGCCACTGTACTGCAATCTTTCTAAGCTTTGTGCACTTTTCCAAGTGTACCCTTAAGTATAGTACACTTTGAATTGTAAATTTCCTATTAGCTTGTTTTCAAAAGAGCTGTGGTCTGAACTTACATGCAAATTCTAGCATGTGCTTGTAATTGAAAACACACTACAAGACAGGATATCAATGTAATTTAGATTTTGGATGATTATCAGATAAGTTTAATCCAGAAGGGAAATGATATCTAGGTATGAAAGGAAGCACTATTAACTAGTGAGCAGGTGGACTATTCTTTTTCGCCTTCCTGTACTAGGAGGGAATATACATAATTGAAAGTCCTGGCATTGTATGCCTTACAATTGAAAGCTGTTCTTGTTCCTTTCAAGGTTTTAGTGATTCACAGCTGAGTGAAAAGTCATAGCTGATATTTAACCAACCAGCCTCTGGGACTTTTCTTTCTCTGGCTAAAAAGTAAACAATGCAGGTCTAAAGATTTTTTCCAAAAAAGTGTTTTATACTGTCAGTTCATGACAAAGTTTTGAATATGCAGAAATAGAGAAAAAGTGCAAACATTTAGTTAGTTTGGTAAATTTAGTTTTCATTTGTGGGTAAAATGTTATATTTAATGTTATATATTCACAAGCATTATATGTGAATGCTTGTACTGGTAGAAGGACGGGTAAGGTCTATGAAAAACACCTTTCTTTAGGAGGAAGGAGGCAGGAAGGGGGCCCTCAGTGTAATTATCCTGGATTAGCTAGCCAGCGTAGCACTGTCAAGGTTGAAACCTAAAGCTGAGTACTGCCTCTGTTCAGTGAATGGTTCTTGCTTTCCTGCATGTGCTTTGACAGGTGAGAAATCCTGCTGAACTTGGGCAATTTTAAGCCATTGATTATGGCTGACAGGTTTCTCTGAGACTGCTACGTAAGCATTTGTCGCAAGGCTCTGTGCTGGTTTTAGACGTGATGAGGGAGGTTAGACCCTGATTTCTTGTGATCCTCCAAGCACAGCAAGAACTTCCCAGGCTTTTTAGAGCTCCTTGAGGTGAGTAAGTCAGCGCTCTGTTGTGTATGGTAGCTTGAGTGAGAAGATGAGAAAAATTGTTCTGGAAAAAAATGAATTGTTAGTTATTTATCACCTGAGCAATGCAGCACGACTTTAGGGAGGAAATGCAAATCTACCAATTATCATAGAAAACCTCTTCTGCAGTGGAAAAAGGGAGTGGAAATCTGTTTTGCATGCCTATCTTGTCCATTTGTGTTCTCTATGGTGGCATGATGCCATTCATTAATGTTTGTTTAGGAGTTTGTGGAAAGTTGGTGCTCTTGATGCCAGGAAAGACAATGCTGAGCAGGACAGAGTTGGCCGAAGTTCAGCTGCACTTGAAGAACAGGCAATCAATATTTGCCTTACTCAAGTTGCCAAACTGGGGCCTGGGTTTTGAAAAGTTAATTACAGGGTGTGCTGTACATAGAGGCATTTAGGAGTTGAATCAGACATAAAAAGAGGAGACATTTAAGTTTCTTCCCAAAGGAAATGGGAAGTCTAAAGTCACTTCTCTGTCTTGGCAGGAAAAGGAGTACATAAATTTTGAAGCTGGAAGTTGGTGGGAGTGGTCTTTGCAGACCACAACATACTTTGTTACCTGCAGTACAAGATCGGCGCCTCCTTCCCCACCCTCCTTCCCTCTGCTTCAGGCAGAGGAAGATATTTTTCGGCAGCTTATTTTTCTGTAGGTTATCAGATGACCTGAAAATGTACTCCAAAATAGACTGCTGGTTTGCTAGTTCAGTTTCTCTGATGGGTGTCTGATCTCCTCACCTGCTGCTTGTTGGTCAAAACTTAAACTAGTATTTTATAAAACAGTGGTGACTTCACAGCTTTTAATGCACTGCAACTACAGAGAGTTATAAAAGGCCTTGTTAGGCAGAGATTATTGGTGAGGTGGTGTGGAAGATACACCACCAAAATATGTAATAGTGTGGTAGTAACTCTCTGCTCTCCTGGATGACTGTCTGTGACTGTTGTGTGCACTTTTCTGTACTCTTGTGATACTTAAGAGATTTCCCGCTTAATGTAATGGGCAAAATACTAGCTCTCAAAATGTATTGACAGCTCAGCAGATTCTTACTGTTTTATCAGGACCTTGGAAGGGGAGCAATTTTCACCCTTTGATTTCCTCTTTACATGGCTGTTGTGTGTCCACTGATCACTGTAGGAAATGAAAAACACCCATCCCAGATATCTCTTGACTGTTCCACATATCTCTCCAACCTGTCCCTTCTGACTTTGTCCTAGTACTCCTAAAACACTGCTATGTTTTTTGTGCTCTTATAGAAGAAGGCAAAAACAATTTTGCGGGAATTGAGAGCAAGTTTTCCTTACGGACGCCTGCAGAGCCTGATGAGGATGTCTGCTACCTGGTTCCTGGGCAGGTGAACAGCCTGGCACAGTGCAACTTCAATCATACCAGTAAAACCTTTGTGGTGATCCATGGGTGGACGGTAAGGCAAAGTGGGAGGAATCTCCCTTTTATCCACACTTCTGATAAACTGAGCAGAAGCGTCTCACAGATATATTAATATATCTCTCCTATTTTAATTAAAATCACCAAAACCAAACAGGTGACAGGGATGTATGAAAGTTGGGTCCCAAAGCTGGTGGATGCTCTGTACAAGAGGGAGCCTGACTCAAACGTCATTGTGGTGGACTGGCTAGATCGAGCTCAGCAGCACTACCCGGTGTCGGCCGCATACACCAGGCTGGTGGGAAAGGATGTTGCTATGTTTATTGACTGGATGGAGGTAAGACATGGAGGCACGTCTCATATTCTACGTAGTATCATAGGAGACAAAACAGCAATGATGCAGCTATGTTAATCATCTCGTGTTGGGTAGATGGAGTTAAACTCTTGCAGAGAGTAGTTTTGCTGGACTGGTAAAATTCCAGCTTTGGTCTACTGGCTGTCTCCTGCTCAGAGGCCTTTTGTACTGCATTCCTGAGACTTTATGTTTTGGTCTGTGGGGTCCTGTGCGCCCAGAGTATTTCTGAGGACTCTGTGAGAGGTAGCTATGAAAGACAGGTTCCTATATATATTATACAGATGCCAGTCCTTGGGAATTGCAAATGTGCCCTGCCTTAGGAGATCCAGGAACTGGTGGGGAGAGGGTGGCTGAAAACCTTTATGAAATAAACAGCCCTGTGTTCTGTCCTTTATTTTGCATTCCTCTCAGTTTTGATTTTGGCCATAAATTAGTTAGATCAAGAAATTTACAATGGCACAAAATTATGATAACTGTTTAGTGTTTCTTCTGTTATTCATGGCTCAAACAAAAATTCCAGTGTTAACAAAACATTTTATTTTGTGTCTTCTTATGTTTTTTGTGTTTAGTTTTGAACTTTAAACAAATTGTTCTCTTCTGCAGGAGCAATTTAATTATCCTCTCAACAATCTCCACTTGCTGGGGTACAGTCTAGGTGCCCATGCTGCTGGGATTGCTGGGAATCTGACCAAAAAGAAGGTGAACAGAATTACTGGTAAGAAAACCTGTGACTGTAGAGTGGAGAGTTGCATTTCTTCCATACTGAAATATTATTTTTCAGTTCTACTGAAAAATCACCAGAATAATTGTTGCTTGCTGGCAGTACTTTTGTGATGTATTCATTATTTAATGAAACAGCAGGGCCAATATTTCTGGGGTAGAATTGGAAAAATATTCAGAAAATAACAACAAGGGTGGTGAGTGAAAAACCTTTATTTGCTTTTTTACAAGAAATGAGTGAGTAGGCCCTGATAAAGAAGTAGTCTGGGGGCTTGTGGTGGGGACTGACCAAACCATGGCTTGGCAAAGGTCACAGTATCTCTTTCAGCATAAGAAATTCAGTGGATTGTCTTTATCCAGGCAGTCATTCCTTGCAGCTGGGAGCCCTTGAGACAGAACAGGAAGTAAATTCTGCTGCAGCAAGTTTAGTACCTGCAGAACTCTTTGCCATGGGGTGATGTAGATGAAAGAAGTTTATATGGGCTCAAAGGAAGACTGGACAGATAACCAGAAGAGATCCTGTGTGGATTATTACAAAGTTTATCATATCAGTCTCAAGAAATATTCTAGGCTGGAAATAATACTGTGAGAATTTGGGGAAGACATATATCTTCCCTGTTGCTATGTCTGCTTAAGGTGAATTTTGGAGCCTGAGCAATCTGCTAGACAAGGCAGAGTCCATGGCCACTCTGGGGCTGGTTTACAACCCAGCACCTGAGAGCTGAGCCACTAGCACTGATCTCATTGACAAAGGAATTGCCTTCATCAGCAAATGAAGCTAAGAAAATTGCTCCTCTGTGGTGTCTTTGTTGCTGAGAGAGCTCGGGAGCACCATTCAGAAGGGAGCCTAGCTCCTGGCACTTTCACCTGAGCCCGGCTGTGATCCCAGATCCACAGACATGCTGGGAGGTGGGCTAGGCAGCAGTCACATCTGGAAAGGTCAAGTCCTGAAAGGTGGCAGATTAAAGTCAGGAGGCCAAAGTGCTAGTCCCTCTGCCCTTCCTTTCTCTAAGTTGCAGCTTTGCAGCTTTCACTGAGTCTGCCAAATCACTGACATGTCAGTAGACCTCTGTTATTCCTCCATGGTTGCTCTCGATGCTGAGGATGAACTGTTCCCGGGGAAAAGGACAGGGAACAATGTAATGTGGCCCCTGAAGCCCTCACAGCTGAGGGGAAGGCAGCTCAGACCAAGTGGAGCTAACAGTGGGTGAGCAGCACGAGTGCCTGTGCCCAGCTGAGGGCTGCAGAAAAGATGTGTCCCCTCAGCCAGCTCTCAGGGGGTTGTCTGAACAGGAGATAGTACTTGTTCACTGGCAGAATAGCTCTGGGTTTTTTTGATGTTAGTGTTGCTGCAGCTTGACAGTTTACCCTAGTAATCCCCTTCCCCTTAGGTATGTAGACAGTGAAGCCCTCATTTATGTTTCCCACTTGTTCCTCTGGCATGGAGTTGTCAGCAAGACTTTTCCATACTTCAGACACTTCAGATACAACTTCTACAGTTCTTGACAAGAATGAAAGACATTGAGAAAATACTTAAGAGCTTGTTTCTCCCATCCACTGGAAATGCTAAAGCTCTGAGAAAGTTAGCTGGGCTTCCTTCCATGTGTTTGCATACTTTTATTTTTTTAAACAGTGACAATTTTCAAGGTAGTGCATTTGATTCTCCTGTATACATTCATGATATTTAAGTGGTGATCCATCTGTAATGTCTGCAGGAAAACTCAGTATTGTAGACCAATGTGGCAGCTGAGTTTGGCATTTGTTATCAATGTCAGTATCTTTGGCAGATAATATCAGTTTTTCTTTGTGGTTTGCCCCATAAAGGGCTGGATCCTGCTGGTCCTACCTTTGAGTATGCTGATGAACTCACTCGCCTCTCCCCGGATGATGCCGAGTTTGTGGATGTCCTACACACCTACACCCGAGGCTCTCCAGACCGCAGCATTGGGATCCAGAAGCCTGTTGGACACATTGATATTTATCCCAATGGTGGAGGTTTCCAGCCAGGTTGCAATTTGGGAGAAGCACTGCGTCTGATTGCTGAGAAAGGGCTTGGAGGTGAGGTTGCTCTGAAACAAACAGTATAACATCTGAGGGAGACCTGAATAGCCCTGCAAGGTGTCTTGCAAGGAAAGAGCTCTGAGAGGCACAGGAATATGTTCTTTCAAATGCTTTTAAAAGTCATCCTGTGAAGCTCAGTTCTGCCATAGTGGATCATGCCTGTTGACAGCATTGCTTAGGGATTAATATCATTATATGCACACGTATATATACATATTACACATTTTCATTCTTTCAAGATGTGGATCAGCTGGTGAAATGCTCCCATGAACGATCCATCCATCTCTTCATTGACTCTCTCCTCAATGAAGAAAAGCCAAGCATGGCCTACCGCTGCAACACAAAGGAGGCCTTTGAGAAGGGCCTCTGCCTGAGCTGCCGCAAGAACCGCTGCAACAATTTGGGTTACAAGGTCAACAGAGTGAGAACAAAGAGAAACACTAAAATGTATCTGAAAACCCGTGCTCAGATGCCCTACAAAGGTAGGTACTCCTTGCTTACTGGTGAGCAAGACTGGTACTTGTGCTCAGCTGTGTGTCACGATGGGCATGTGCTGCCGATGAGAATATTGCTGCTTTGGTGCCTGTGGTGAGCAGGGGTGAAGCTGGCTTGTGGTTTGCCATTGAATCCGAGTCTCAGAGAAGTGTTGTCCTACTCAAGGTGTATGGTAGAGTGAAAAAAGAAAGGTATTTTGTAACAAGTTTCTAAGTAGCAAAAGTTAGACAACTCCTGCTGCCCAATCATTTGGAACTTTTTCAGTGTTTTTCATCTGAATGATTACTTCTTTCTTCTGGGGAAATAATCAGCAGAATTCAGTCTGCTGAGCATCTTAATTAAAGATATGCAAGCATTAGATTTATGCCTTTGGTAGTGCACTTGCTAGAGGAGCACCAGCCCTCATTAAAATATCACAGCACTTCTTGAATCTAATTGCTGCTGTGGGAGGTCCGAGAATGACAAAGCCAGAGAAAACTGGGAGGATAATACTTTCCTCACAGCTAGGAAAATAATGTTGGATTTTACTATTTTATTTTCCTCCTTAGCTTTGCTGTACCCCATGGTATTCTTATAGTGTGCATTTTGTGATGGACCAGCAATTGAAAGGCACTTTCCTGCACTGTTAGAGCAACTGCAAGGCTGGTGTTCTGTTGGCATTTGGTGCTTAACCTGCAGTGTCAGTGGATTGTTTTTGTTTTTTGTTTTTTAGTTTGTTTTTTTTTCCTTTTACCAAGCCTCCTGTAAGAGAAGGGCACAGCTTACTTGTTTCAAGTCAAGTATAGCAAGTCTTAAATGTTCAACAGCAGGTTTGAAGGTGATACTGCATACTCTGGGAGTATTATAGTGGCAGCTTTGCTGCAAAGTTTAGCTGCAAGAGCTGCAAAGGTGTTCTTTAATGGTGATTGCCTTGCTTGCTAATATTTACATTCTTGCAAAAAAATAGTACCCTGGACACCTGCATGGAAATAAACTAATTTTAGTGAAGTTGGCAAATTCCAGCCTAGAATTTTCAGAGGTGAGGCAGGGTGGTTTTATCGCCAGCTGTCTCTTTGGAGATTGAGCTTTCCTAATGGCATTTTCTTTTGTATCCTTTCAGTCTTTCATTATCAGGTCAAGATTCATTTCTTTGCAAAGACTAACATGACGAAGACAAACCAGCCATTCCTGATCTCTCTCTATGGCACTCTAGACAAGAGTGAGAACATTGCTTTCACACTGTGAGTAGCTACAAAAACAACTGCAAAGTACTGTTGAGTTTGCCTAAATTTGTTAAAGTCTCAACTGAAAAACTTGTTCTGGCTTCAGCTGCACTAATCTTACAGGGTCCCAGAATCTGCTCTTGTCCTTGTTGAGTTGCATTTGCTTTGGAAATTAATGAACCATATCCTACAGGAGCTCTTCTTGATAAGACATCTGAAATATGGAAACATGAAGTCTGACCTGGGACACAGCTTAATAAGAGTGTTTCCAGTGCTTTCTTATTTTCTTCTCAGTGTCTTTATACCATATTAAATCTTCTTAAAAGTGGACTTATGTATCTGAAGGTCTCAGTGCAGAAGCTGAGGGAGACTTGGGATTTGCTTTCACAGCTCTACAAATAAGCAGAAATTTGTGTGTACGTCCCTAGACACAGGCTGTCAGGGAATGGAGCTGTTTTCTGCTCTGGGTTATGGGTGGTGGTGTCTGGGTTTTCTGAGAGCACAGGTGAGGACAACCCTTTCCTGGCAGACTGTTTCTGGATTTTACCAGCCTTGCTACAGAAGGATGTTTCCTTTTGCCTCTACAAAAGGTAGAGGTGTTTTTGCTTCCTTCTCTGGAGCACAAAAATTCCAGGTTCTATTGCTCTTTAATTTTCTTTGTCTGTCCAAGAATTTCAGGTGGTTTTTTTGTTTGTTTTTTTCTTATTCTTCTCCCCACAGGCCTGAAATCTCCACAAACAAGACCTTCTCCTTCCTGATTTACACAGAAGTGGATATTGGAGACCTGTTTATGGTGAAGCTGCAGTGGGAAAAAGACACCTTCTTCAGCTGGTCAGATTGGTGGACTCCCTTTACATTTGACATCCAGAGAATCAGAGTGAAGTCAGGGGAAACTCAGAAAAAGTAACTTGTTTTGATTTTTTATAAGCTATATTAATTCTAATTGACAGCGCTCCCTGATTTTTGGTATCTCACAGACTTGGACAAACATGTTAGGCAGTTGCAAATGGGTGCAGTATTAATGCTAATCAGGGCTCCAGTGGTATCAAACAACCATTTCTATCAGCCAGGTTCAGCCATTTACTTCCACTGGGATCTGCAGCTTGTAGTCTTCCTCCTATGTAATTAATTTGTATCCCACTATTGTATCTACTTAAGGTTAGTTATAATATGCAGGAGAGTATCTCCATGAACCACCATCAGTGATTGTGTTTGCAATTTCTGTCCTCCTTTTTCATGCTGGGTTCTTGCATAGCTTTTGTCACAAAGAGCATGCTTAGATGGAGATTTTTAGAGATCCTTCCGAAAGTGTGTTTGCACAAGAATTTATTGCTTAGTTAAGTTGGATTTCCTTAGGGGTTGAATACCTGAATGGTGGTTGAAAACTGAAACACGTAACTGTTGCAGGACATTGCTAATGTGTGAATGTTGAAACGTCAAAGCCTGAACAGAAGTGCTTTGACATTATTCTTTTGAAATACTCATATTCACTAAACATGAGATCTGTTTGCAGAACATGGGCCCAGAACAGAGTATGTGTGTCCTATGTATAGTATAGTAAATAATAATAAGTTCCTCCTTTGAATAAGCAGGTCAGTCACTTGATCAAAGAACAGTTATCAGAGCTGAACAAATATAGGGGTGGGGAAAGTACTGATAAATAGAAAAGTGAGTGCTCATGTTTTCTGGAAATTGCAACCTACTTTGTTTGCACATGTGAGGGAGTATGGCTTTCTTCCAAGTTCATTCACCTGACAAAATCTCACGTCAAGACTGGTGTAAATAAAGATCCAAGAGACTTTGGGATAGAACTTCTGCTATCTTAGCCACAAGAAGATTTTTTTTTGCAAAGGATCAGTGAAAGTTATGGCTATGCTTTGATGCCCATGTATAATTCATTTACCAGTTCTTGCACAGCGTTTCTTTTGTTACAGAATTCTCTTTTAAAAATAACTTTCTCATGGGCCTGCAAAGTAGCAGTGCCCCACGTGACAAAGTATGAAGACTGTTTCCAAGCACCAGTCTTCTTTCTAAGATTAAAAAGGGATGTTTGGCTCAGTCTTGTGATTTTTCCAATATTTATTCCACAGAGTGGTGTTCTGTTCTCGAGATGGCACCTCACATCTCAGTAAGGGAGAAGAGGCAGCAATATTTGTGAAATGCTCGGAGCAGCCCGTCAACAGGAAGAGAGGAGGGTATGAGTAATCACTATTGGTTTTAGACTGCTTTATTACCCCTTGAGTGGTAATTAAACTTTTTCTTTAATTGACTTTTGCACTAGTCTTCTCAGGGCTTCAAAAGCATCACAGCTCGGACTAACCAGAGGTATGGCCACTTTGGCAGCTTAAAAGCTCTTGGCTTGCTCCTCTGGTAGCCATCCTTGTGTGGCTGTTGGCATGTCTGAGAAGCAAGCTCTAGTCACTGCCTCTCACAGTCCCTCGGCCAAGTTTGAGGGGCTGTTATGGAGGGTTACAGACAAGGCCCTAGCACACAGAGGAAAGCGTGTCTCTGTCTCAGCACTTGCCCTTAGCTGCAGAACATTCAAACTTCCATACTGGGTCAGCTCAGAGCCCTCCCTCCGTACTGGCCAGCAGCAGATTTGGGGGCTGGTTCAGGAATGGAGCAGGCATATGATGGTGCTCTTCTTAGCACACTGCTTTCTGATGGCAGCCATCAGGTGGGTGAATTCCTGAGAGTTTCATCACTATGGATCAGAGATTCTGCCTTTGTTTAATAGCCCTTTGGTGTGCTTTAATATTTTTATCAATAATTTTCCTGACCCAGATTAGATGTGGAGACAGTCTTTGGACTTTACCCACTAAAGTTTGAGATAGAGAAGTGGTTATATTTATTTTAGTTCAATTACTGTGTGTGAATGGTCTCATGGGGACGCTTCTGGACTGAGATCTAGCTCTGCATAAAAATGCACATGTGCTGGTTGTTAGGCTGGGGCAATGACCTGGACAGGCCTTGAGAGCTCTGTGTGTGTATCTGACATAAAATCAAGCAGAAGCCAGGAAAAGCCTAAGCACATTATTTATCTTTCTGTTAAGTAGGGAGTTTAAAACCTTAATTCTCAAAAATAAGACAAGAGGGAACAAGTATCTTCCTCATCACCTTTATATTTTATTTTTTTCTCCACAGTACCAAGAGAGCCTCGAAAGAAAATTCTGCTCATGAATCTGCTTAAGTGACAAGAACAAGGATTTTTCACACTGGGGAGGAGAAGAGTCTGTTCATCCCTGTGGACTGGATGTTCAGAACCAAATATATAGAAATATTTATCTGCTGCTGGATTTTTGCCTGCTATTCCTAGCTATTTTAGAGACTTCTTGTAAAAAAAGTCTCAGCATATGAAGTTACTAACCATAAAGATACATTATCCAAATAGTTAAAAACAAAAGAAACCTGCAAAACTACTTGCCAAAGTTTGAAGTGCTGAAAAGATATAGGTAATTTTGCTTAATCATGGTGCCTTGTGACAAGGTTTCTTGACATCAGATCCTATATAGCAATTTTTTAATATGAAAAGAAACAAAGCCCTGTACTTGGTTTTATTTTATCTTGCTGTTTTTATTTTGTTTGGTTTTGGTTTTTTATTTTTTTTTGAGTAGTGGGATTTTTTTTGTTCTTTTCATGAGTCATCTGAATCTGTTTTTTTGTGTCTTGGCAAATTGAATTTTCAGGCAGTTCAGTGGAGAGAGTTCATTGTTTTTCAAGTGTGTGTTTAGCAAATAAGTAGGTTTCCCATGTGAAAAAAATCACCTTTGCTGTGTGTAATACTAGAAGATGTCAGGGACTGACTTAATATGGGGATGAATTTTTTAGTTTGTGGTTATGAATGTATTTAATTGGGGGTAGATGCCAGTGCTGCTTAGCAATAGGTATGATCTGTTAAGCTGTATACTTCTATGCCACTTACCCTGGAATAAATAACAGCTCTAGAAGAAGGCAGCAATGCCAGTGTCTTATCCAGACATTTGATATTTTATCTATGCTTTCAGTTATTGCAAATGAAACTGTCCAGCCTTCAACACTGTGAAAATGGAACAGCAGAGGAATTGAGCTACCATAAAATGCAGGAAACAGATATTTCCCCCCACCCTCCACCCTCTCCCTGCTTGCTTGCGTCACGTATGCTGAAACTGTCACAGTTTCTCTGCTCTTTGGCACCAAGTGTCAGTCATGCAGCTGTGTGGCTGCTGTATGCAGTTTTCAGTGCAAGTGAATCCCCTTGACAGCTGACAAGGATGCTCATACTTCCCTGTACTGGAATTGTGACTGCCAGTGATCCACCTCAGTTTGTTTCTTGGCTATGGTACAGTGCTAGGAGCTGCACAGTTTTTTGCCGTGAGATGGAATTCAGCAGGAAGCAGGAGCTGAGCCAATTAAAAGCAGCCTGGTTGTGTGCTCCACAAGAAGGAGCGCTCTGAAAAACTCTCAAATTAGCCGTGCTGCAAGTTTAAAAAAATAGGTATATTGGAAGCAGTCTGCTTCCCCATTTTTTAGTAATATGTAGTTTTTCTAGTGTGCTGAAAGGTGCAGTAGCCCTCTTTTAACTTTCTAAAGAGTAAACAGAATGCTGGGGAGGCACAAGGGCTTGAAGGTAGACATTTGGAGAAGTGTAATGTTAGCTGTTGATGCTGGGTGTTGTAGTCTTTTCCTGCATGTGCAAGACAGCATGGAGATGGTGATTTCTCCAATGTCATCCCATCTTAAAAGCAAAGAAAAATATGCATGTGTTTATGTGCACAATTTGTTTCTCATTTCCAACTGTAGCTGCTAGCATATTTGGGGATAAAAGTCTTAAACAGTGCAATATGTTGGAATATTAATAGCTCTGAATTTGCTCACATTTGATTTCACATTTGATTAAACTACAGCAGAGATGTGATGAGTCACTGAGGGTGGGGTTGAGTATTGAGCCACTGCATTTGAGACCTCTAAAAATAAATACAGTGATTTATTCCCTATAGATTCCACATTTTGTTGCAATTTTCTCTTAAAAGTCAAATTCTTCGGAAGCAAAGTATCTGGACAGCTCTTAATACAGGATCAAATACAAACACATTAAAAATTTGGATACAAACTAGTGAAGGTTCTTTTCATAAGGAAACATGATTTAGCTTTGAATGTTATTTATTAGCTGTAAATATGATATTTATGAGTGTAAAGGTAGTTTGTATATATTGCTAAAGTTGCTGACAGTCTCTACATTAATACAGTTGTGTAGTATTAATCCTGTATATAGCTTTCAGAGATTTTTATCAACAAGCCACTTACATTGCACTGTTTCCAATGTCGTTAATACATTTTTTTTTTTGAAATCTCCTCAGTTTTGTATAGAACACAAACCTATGGTTTTAATAAAATTCTCAAACTGAATCTGAAGTCACTACTTTCCTTTTGATGAAACCATCTGCTGTATACCTTTTATGTGAAGGCCAGAGCCTATCCTTGAATTCTGGGCTGAAAAAATGGAATGAGACACTAGAAAAAAAAGGAATGTGTGATTTCTGCACTGCTCTCCCCCACATAATTTTGGGAAATGCAAAAGTCATGTATTAAGACCCCAAGGAATCACTGTGTGGAATCATAAAAGAAGTAGCTTTTCACCTGCAGTTTGTGGTTTTTGAGTTTCAGGCCCTTTTAAGAACAGTTCAAGAACTGTCCTTACTTTCAAGGGCTTGTTTCCTTTTCTTTTTTTTTTTTCTTTTTTTTTCTGGTAGGTGTCAGAACTATGCTTCTGCTTCACATTTTACCAAAATGGAGATGTTCTGACCCTGTGGGTGCAGGAGGAAAGCACCAGACTTTTGCCACCACTATTTCTTAAGGAAGTAACTGAAAAATCACTTTCAACCATCTGTTATGAGTGCAGCTGAGCTCAAGAGTGGTTGTCACCAGAACAGTTTGCTCTGTCATATACAGCAAGGCTCCACCCAGGCAATGGAGAGGGATTGCTGGAATTAAGGAGAATTGTAGTGACATGCACCTGGGGGATCATATTAGGGGTAATTAGAGCAGTTCCCTATTGACCTGGGGAACTCTGCTTCCAACAGTCTTCCTTGGTGAAAATGACTGCTCTTTGGCAAGAGCAGAGCTTCATTCCTTGAGAAAGCAGAGGGGAAGCTATGCTGTGGAAAATGGATGGTTGGAGAGCCTGAATGGAGGGAGGGATGAAAGAAGAACGGGAGAGGGAGGGGAAGGGAATCCTTCCAGTGGAAGAAGGAAGAACTGGATCTGCAGACTGGAATGCTTTGAAACTAGGTGTTCTAGGGACACTGCTCATCCCCTTGTCAGTGTCTGGGTTAGGGAACTAGAAGGACTCCTACAGTTGCACAAGACAGGGCTTGGTGTCACATCTCCTAAAAACACCATGGTGTAAGTATTCTTTTAACATCACAGCAGCCTCAATACGCTAATTGTGTTCCTAGGTAAAGCAGAGAAATAGTTTGGGGTGGAGGGACAAGAATCCAGGTGTCTTCTGTGAGTATTTAGAGCCATCCCTGGGCCGCTTTACTCTTGCATGTTGCTCTGCAATGCCTAGCCACATCAGAAAAGGTGATGATCCCCGCTCACCCTGCCAACAGTCTCTGGAATGGGCTGCAGGGATAGCCTGGCCAGCAGTCAACCAGACAGAAAGAGACATTCTTGGCTGGAAGGAAAGAGTGAAGAAAAAGGATTTTAGCCAGTGTATCTGCAAGATGAGGAAATCATGACTCAGGTTTCTAATGCCTAGATTTTCATTTTCATATTTAACTCTGAGAAATTTTTGGAACCAGCAGTGACTTTGCTCTCCATAGGTGTCTCCATGCTTTCTCCATGTGTGCCTGCTTTTTTGTGTGTTAAGAACAAAATGTCAAAGCTTGCTGCTTGGGATGAGCAAGACATTGTGTATGCGTTGTTTCTAAAGGTCAAAAACAGATACTGAAAAAAAAGTTTATGTAAGAGGGAAGAATGGAACCAGCTGTAGTATTTTCCTTTTTATTTACAGCTGTCAGCGCAAACATAGCTGTATTAAAATCCTCAGGAAAGAGATTTCCATCTCCTCCTGCTGCATCTTTCCAGAGAAGTCATCTAGTCAAATGTCTTTTGTGGCAGGTCTGGAAAGTCACCAGTTTACACATAAGGGAATAAAAGGATTATCATTCTGCAGTGGCTAAAGGAGAACAAGGAAATGAGAAGAGGAAGGGAAGGGAACCATTTGGCAGAACATCCCATATAAAGCTTGTCTTAACAATGCTTTTATATCCGTGTGTGGTGCTATCTCTGCTCAGCAACACTCAGAATGCTTTCCTAAAACAGCTCAAGTTAACTCAGATAGAACAATGCATCCACATCAGAAATGCAGATGCTAAATGGGGACCACCTTGGATATAGCAGGTGTTAGTGTGGTGGTGCAGTGCATTTTCAATGACATCATCTCCCAGCCATTCATGTCAGATAAACACCATGTTCTTAATTGTAGGCCCTTCCCGTGGGAAGTGACCCAAGATCATCAGTCCCACTTTTTGCCAATGACACTGGAGAGGATTTGCTGCTGTGCATCACCCCACCATGTAGAACCATTCAGTGAGAAGTAAGAGGCCATGGGTCACTGTCCTCAAAAGAGCCAGAAGTGAGAGCATATCTCATACTGTTCCATCCTACCAAAGGATTTTTTTACCCCCAATTAGCTGTAAACCTGGAATGTTCTAAATAGTGAAAGAAGAACACTCAAAATATGGAAACTGGGAGCAGTAGGAACAGATTCCTATGCCAGAACAGGTTGAAAAGATGCTATGAATATTCACACTTTTTCAAAAGAAACTTTGAAAAAAAACAGGCTTCTGAAGTTTTGCTTGCTAGGTCCTCAGGCTTTGGTCAGCCCTTGCTTTTTTCCTCTGACAGGCTTAATTCAGGAGCTTTTGAGGCTTGCTCCCTGGCCTGAGAAATTGCTGCTGTGCAAAACTACCTTTGGAGTCACTGCTAATCTTTCTGGATTAGAAACGTCTCCATGCATAACTGTGTATGTAAGGAGAGGATACGAGTCCTGTGCTTCTGGTGAAAGGGCCAACCCTGCCCTCAGTGAGAGACACAATCAAAACTCCACTGAGGCTGGGAAAAATCTTTTTGTTGATATTTTGGAAAATTTTGAATGTTTTCCTAACACCTAGCACAAGATCCTAGATTTAAAATGAAGGCACAGCTACAACTTTGGTTTTTTTTTGATACTGTTACACAGTGTTTTCAGACTGAGTGCATATAAATGTCAGGTCATGATCCACTTAGGTACTAGGTTAAATATTGGCTCTGGATGTCTTCTCACAAATATTGCCAGCATCTCTTGGCAGTATTTGTATTTATGGGACACCAGAACAAACCACATGAGTGCAGAGATGTAATTAGCACCCCATAAAAATTAA